AGACGTCGAAACGTTAGCCGAAAATAAATATATTTATCAACCTCGTGCAAGCTTATCAAGAAAGAATACATATCTGTGGAGAGTGTTTTGGCATTATAGGTGCATAGTAAGAAACAGTCTCCATGGCGTGTCGTGCGTGTGTTCGTCAGATCCTCTGGTTCCAATGACGTCCTGCGTAACCCGAGATTTTCTGGCCTCTCACTGGTCGTCTCACCACCTGACGTCATAGACGGAAGCATCCACTGTGCGGGGTACTGATGCTGGTCTATTGCTGGTCGTGCAACTTGGTCCTCCCTGGAGTCCTGACGTAACCTTGCAAGGACGTATCCAGGTCCTCACCATGATGTGGATCAGAGGGAGGTGTGTTTTCGGCGACGAATCCTTGTTCTGCTCGAAATATAAGGCATAAAACAATAAGGTAGAATAAATGTATGCCATAGGTTCCGGAAAATCAGGGTTTTGCTGTGGTAAAGCAAAAAACTTTTGTCCTACAAGCAATGAATTGTCCACTCACGCCATTTTTATCACAATAAACAAAAACCATTATGACATGAGACACGATGATTTAAAGTTGAGAGCGGCTATTGTTTTAGATTCGCATGAGTTCCTTGGGACGCATATAGTGCAGTGGTTAAAGGTTCCCCGCAACACACACGTATTCAGCTCTTGGTTCGATACCAAACCCCCGGCACACTAAGACTTCCATCCATCCGGAGTCGGCAAAATGCTAACTACTTATCTTGGAGGACAGCAGCACTGACTTGATACGTCTGTAAGTCACAGAAAGCCATCTATAAGACAGATAGGCATTTGATGACCTCAAACGTCCTTTAGTGAAGTCGAATGCACGGCACATCTTTCACACAATGGTCATGGTCAATGCAATAAGCTTTATCGTTTTTATGATTAACTTTTACATTAAAAATTAATGTGACCTGATAGAAATCGAAGCAATTTTCCTTACCTTCCTTCCTAAATGCCCGTTTAACAGATAACCACTCTATACCTAACGAAGATATTAAAATTTCTTAAATATGCTATATTGCTACAAGAAGTGGTGAATGGCAGACAGCATCATTGAAACCGCCCCTCCGTTGTCATTGGTCGCCGGGTCTATAGGCCTTTGCCCACCTTTATTAGTCGAAAGAAATGACCTTTAAGCCTAGGGCGGTAATGAATAACGAGCTGCATGAATCCTGATGAATACGAACTTTTTTCTACTTCAAAGAACCGTTTGTTTGATGAAGGGACTACTACAGTGGATACTTCCTGCATTTTTAGAATCATTTTCAGAAAGAGAATTTTAGAAGTGCGCTATTCTTCAAAAACACAATTACCGTTGCTTTTTCTAAGCACTGCAGCAAATGATGATGTTGTATTTCGAATAAGTCTTCATCCTGTAAAGCATCAAACGACAGAAGACCTAAATAGGCATCCATTGACGTCATGAATAGCTATAGTGACGGTTACCGTTTATATTGTTTCATAAATGTTTCATGCTGCAAATGAAATAAAAAAGAAACCCACCTTGCTCAAACGCTTTCATTCTTGCCTCGTGTGCTTTCTTCTTATTGAATAACGCTTGACTTGACGCGTTCTTCACAATACGAATGCGAGCAAGTCGAGCTTTCTGAAACAGACCAATTCATCGATTGCTCGATCAGCACAGAAAACAAATCAATATCGACTAACTAACTTATATACTGAGTAATATTCTGCCACCTACCTTCTGTGCACGTCTCTTGTCAGCACGTTGATTTTGGTGATATATTCGCGAGAAATTGCTTACGATAACCTAAAAAATAAAACAAAGAGCAATAAGGAAAACAGAAGAAAAGTAATGAAGGCGATAAATATCGTCAAGGTTCTCACCGGAACTGGTAATGCGATAACAAGTACACCGGACAACGAACAGATTCCACCAACGATCTTACCCATCACTGTCGACGGCACCATATCACCGTAGCCGAGTGTGGTCAGCTAAAACCGACATTTACCTTTGTTCACTATTGATTTTTCGGATGAATTGTCAGAAAGTCGATAATAAGCCATGAAGATGGATCTCACCGTAACAATAGTGTACCAGAAAGCCGCTGGAATCGAGGTAAACCTTAAAAACTTGTTTTCATAGTTATTATTAGCAAAAAAAGTAACCGCTTATAAAAATAGTAAACAGAATGGTAGCAGAACGAAAGCTGGTAAAGTGAGTTCAAATTTGAATACATGAGTACTCCCGAATGATAAGTGGTTGTCAGCATTTCTCACGACTTCGTCAAGAATAATTTCACGCATAAACGACCATATTAATTGATACAAACGCATAGTTGGGTGAGCAGAGTGGACCGAATGCGTTGATTTCGACTCATAATTTTTCCATTTGATTGCTTCACTGTAAGGTGTTTCTTTGCGTATTTTGGTACTTAGCCGATAGTTTATCTAATACAACTGTCGTGCCAGACGTGGCCTGTGATAGGTTCTTCTTTAGAGTGGACAATTAATAAAAGTGTCCTTTGTACGAAATTAGCACTAAAAAAACTAGAGATACGCAGTAACAATAGTTGCCGTTATTATTATGTACAAAGCAAAAAATAAGAAAGCGAACATATTCTAAAGCATACCTGGTGTTGGTGACTTTCTTCTCAGCATAATACATGATTGTGGCAAAGATGATAATCGCCATAGCCAGCGAAAACACCAAGAATCCGAGTTCGGATGCGCACGATTTCAGTGTATAGCCGAGTATTCGAAGACCTTGTGAATGCCGCGAAAATTTGAAAATTCGAAATACTCGCTGAAAACACATTACAGAATGTCTAGAGCTTAGCAATTTTTGTATTTGAGTTTGTCTGCCAGTCGGAACAACCTCTTAGTCATAGTCATATCTATGGTAAAAGAATCGGTTTTTTCCTTTCTATTAGAACAATAGAGAGAAGCAAAACATTAAGCCTAGCATATACCTTTTAAGAAGTTCGTTCCACTAACACTTAACCCATCGGTTTATCTACTGTACTCTACAGTTTCTTTTTCGTTTTTCTTTCCTTCATTGAAGATAGGGTTGCTAATGAACTCTTGTAGTGACCATTATAACAGGACTACATGGATTTTTATCTGCACAGAAACTGTTGGACATTTGATGGTCTTAGAGCAAGCGGTTTAGCTCTTATTTTAAAAGAAAGAAAACAGATGACATGTGATGAATTCCTCCGTTCCATAGACTCTCTCTGCCCAATAAAGATAAATGTCGTGATGGTGGTAAGAAAACCAGCCGTTCTACGACTCTTTTTAGTTGCCGAAAGAACTAAATAGAATTCTTTCCGTAAAATGAGCAGAACAGTAACAAAGACGAGATCTTTGAGAGCCGTTCAAGCGTATAAAATAAATGAATAAAGGTGATGAGGCTGTCTTTTTACTTCAGATGATGAGGATTTGAATAGCATAAAAATTGTTACGTTCATTGCTGTATGAACTCACAAACACTCGTAACGTTACAAACGCTCCGGAGACATCTTTATTGTTTTGTAGCCCCAGGCCAATGTAGTACGGTAGAATCGCCACCACATCAATCACACTCATTATTGATCTGAAATACACCAACTTATTGCTTGACTGATTTCTCAATAAACACCTGTATGTAAGAACACATAAAGAATAAGAACAGAATCTCACTAGAAGAAAAAATTGATTTCCCGGCAAAAGAGTTTTCTGCAACAAACAACGCTTCTAGAACAATAACTATGCAACATTCCGTTCATTCAGTTCTTAAGTAATGCTAAATAGAAGAATAAGAAATGGAAGATTCATGTAGAAAAACTTCTCCTAGGCCAATACAAGCTTAGCAAAAATGAAACTCTTAAAGCTTTGATCAAATGGTATTTCCAAAGAGATAGGAGAATGAACAAACACAAAACCGCCACAGTTTTCTGAAGTATTCGGTTAATGAAGGGCGCCTGTGGCGCAGTGGTTGGAGGTACCACCGCGGCACACGTGGAATCGATCCCTGCGCCCATGGCTCACCAAGCCCTCCATCGCTCCGGAGTCAGTAAATTGGTACCAGACTTGTTTGGGAGGATAGCAGCTCTGGCTTGATACATCGGTAGGCCACCGCGAGTTATTGTAAAGGGCAGTTATACATTCAATCACCTCCAACGACAGTTAATGAAGTTGAATGCACGGCGCATCCCTCAGGGATTGATCAACGCTGAGAGCTTTATCCTTCTATGAGGTTTGTACGGTTAATAGGGGCGCGTGTAGCGCAATGGTTAGAGGCGCTCTGCAATAGACGTCGGATCGACCCCGTGCCCATACTCACCAAACCTTTCATTCATTCGGGATCCGTAAATTGGTACCAGACTTATCTGGGAGGATAGCAGCACTGGGTCGATACATCGGTAAGCCACTGCGAGTCATTGTAAAGGCCAGATATGCATTCAATCACCTCCAAACGATAATTAATAATGTTGAATGCATGACGCGTGCCTCAGGGATTGACCAACGCCGACAGCTTTATCCCTCTATTATTTATTCGACCAATGTAGTTTCGCTTTTCAAAAAGAGCACTGGATCTGCACAACATTAACAACAACGAATTCTCGAATAGCCAAATTTTATCGCAAATAGGCTCTTAAAAGTCATCTTTCCCGATATTCTCGAAATTTCGCAATGCCTTTTAATAATCGTAGGCTAAACTTGATACTGCAACATCTATTACGTACTAAAACACCCTATTATTGATATAGTAAGTAAGCTACCATTAAAACAACTCTAGAAGAAGCCTTGAATTCATTAACCACTCATGAAATCACAGTTGTTTTTCAGGTTTTCACTTTCAGTAGAGAAATTTCTCATAAGAGACGCATGGAACGCTGTTGGTCACACGATGAATCCTCACCTCATAAATCGACATCGATCTGGTGCCGCATATAATCGTAACAAATATTCTATAGTGAAAATAATAACGCAAGCGGTATCTAACACGAAAAACTGAAACGAAGAAAGAAATCATCGATTGATTCGAACGTGGAATTTTAGTGATATGGGAGTGTTCAAGGAAAATCTACATCTACAGAGTTACCCACTTGTTTCTCATAAGCATCTCCACATGAGACCGGAATATCATTTAAATACCTGAAATGATAACCTCCATAAGAGTTTGCTGAATTGAAATAGTACCATACATAGCTAAGTTACCCATAACCACTTAAAAAAAACAAGATAACTACGGAAAGGAGCGTTTCTCGTTTCACCAGATCTACAAATAGACTCTTTCTAGCTTCATATATTTGTTCTTTTTAAATAACTTAAAAGTTCACTGAACGTGCTCTAAATCGTTGATAAAATGAGATTAAGACCAAATCCATGCAAGATTCCATTTTTCACAGAAAGGAGAAAAAGCCGCCAAATTCAAAAAAACTAAGTCCCAAAACCACTATAGCCTGGGACTTACTCAATTCATTGGTCGGCTGTCCGAAAGATGCCGTTGACGATAACATCGACGAAGAATACGAATCGGCTCACTAAACATCTTCACGTGAGCGCCACGAAAGCTGAGAGTTCGAAAGTCACCAAGAGACGTGTGTCTTCAGAAACACTCGAGCGGATACGCCAGCGTGGAATCTAACGTCCGAACTTGCAAAACAATGCAGACAAGCGGTAAAAGAAGATCTTAAAGTGAGAAAAGCAGCAGTAATGGTCAAAGCTGCAGAGGCTGGGTAAAGCATTCGCAAAGCTCACCGAAGTTTCGCCAATTAGAAGACCAAGGTGATTTCACTCCGACGCCCAGACCGAACAGTTACAGCGTCCAGAAAGACAATGGAGGAAATCATTCACGAATACTGCCCAGATCTTTTCGACAGCCACGTCCGCCTTCCGTCGTAAGAAATAAAAGAGGATGGATATGTTGCACCACCGATTCCTCCTTCCGAAATCCCACATGCCACTTCGTTGGTGAAAAATCGAACAGCACCATATCCAGAGAGGATAAGATCAGGAACACCTGAAGAACCGTTCGCTGTTTCTCGTAAACACACTGGCTCGGCTCTTCACACGTTACCTGTCTGAATGCAAGGTCCCTACTCAGTGGAAGACCAGCAAGACCGTGTTATTTTTCAAGAACGGTGACCTGCACGGTATCGGCAACTATCGCCCAACCTGCTTACTGTCCGTGGCCTACAAACTTTTCACTTCAGTCATCCTAAACAGAACTGACAAAACACTAGACGAAGGACAGCCATGTGAGCAAGTAGGGTTTCGAAGAGGATTTAGTACGATGGACCACATCTACACGGTAACACGGCTCATTGAAGTATCGCGAGAGTACGAAAGACCGCTCTGCCTCACTTTCATCGATTTACAGAAGGCCTTTGATTCACTTGAGATAGAAGCAGTCTTGGAAGCCCTTGATAGTCAAAAAGTCCCTATCCAGTACATAAAGATTCTTGATGAGCTGTACATTTCACAACCGTGATATCACCATTCTACAACGATATTAACATCGACGTCAAAAGAGGAGTTAGGCAAAGTGATACTATCTCGTCGAAATTATTTGTAGCCAGCCTCCAGAACGTTATGCGAACATTGGAATGGGATAATATGGGAGTCAAAATCGATGGTCGGCAGTTACACCATCTTCGCTTTGCTGATGACATCGTCCTTTTAACATCAAACATTAGCCAAACGGAACTCTGCTTGACGACTTTGACAAAACCTGTGGAAGGATTGGTACTCGACTAAATCTCACAAATACGATGTTCATGAAGAACGGATTGGTTCCGCATGCCCCATTCACGCTCAACGGAACGAATATCTCTGAATGCTCCAGTTATATCTATCTAGATCGAAAAATCAATATGATGAACGACCTAGCTCCAGAGTTGAGCAAAAAGAAACGAGAGGCTTGACGAGCTTTCAAGGGCATCGAGGATGAAGTGAGGAGAACAAAGAACACCCGACTCCGTGCGCACCTTTTGCGTTAACAGGACGAAAAATCACTCAGCTTCATTGAACGCGTAGTCGGAAAGCCGATACTAGGAGTGTCCCGTGTTACGCGAGTAAGGGAAGGGATCCGATGCTCCGACTTGTGACAACGATAAAAAATCGTGGATGCCTTTCTACACGCGAATCAAGGTGGGCGGGACACGTAATGCGTATGAATGACAACCGATGAACAAGAGCAGTTAGTGATTGGATTCCTCGGGATGTTAAACACACTGCAGGAAGACCACCGTCCTGATGGTCAGCATTCTTCACGAAAAGCCTGGATGAAGAGTGTGATGCACAGCGAGTCCCTAGTGCATGTAGAACCCAGTGGGCTACTCTTGCACGCGACAAGGAAAAATGGAATATTTACTGGCGCCCTCTCGAGTTACTCGACGATCAATCAAGACTACAGGTGAAATAGGTGAAGACCAAATGAGCTCCAAAGAGTAGACACTGATACGGAACTGAGTACGGTAGATTACCGCAAGCCTAAAGGGGTGCAAGCCACAGTAAGACTACACTTGAACTGCTGCTATTCTAAATCTGTCCAGTCATGGACGTTTTGGAAAATATCAATCATGGTCGAGTGTTACGGCATATAAATTCCCTAAAATAACATTCTGAATAATTTACAGGTAACAGTTATACTATTGAGGATATTTTCGTAAAAAATTTAACACAAGTTGTTGTTTCGTTCCAAATTCTACTCTTCTCATGTGATCCTTAATTATTTCCTCTTCATTTTCATATACTTTCAGACTTAGAATGGCTTTCACTTAGATGTTCACATTCGAATGATCGTTATTCGTCAGGAACCTCATCAAGATAACTTCGTAACACTCGTTCGCCTTCAAGTTCTATTGAATATGTCATGATCTACGTAAATCGATAACCTTACGAATTTTACTGACCAGCATGGAATTGTTTCTATTATATTACACAATACAGAAACGGCAATAAAAAAACCCGTCACGTAGTAGAAAACGAGCGCCACCGACGATGTATGCGGATTTTCAAACGCCGCCCACATTTTCTCCTGAAATACTGTATTATCACTAAGTTATCGATATATATCGATACATGTTCTTATTCCGTATACTTTATACCAGCAGGTTAATGGAATTTTATTGCAAGCACAATGATAGTTTGCATAAGTTCGTCTAATATTGTTCTGCTATGGTACCTCTACTGAAAATATGATTACTTATGAGTTATGTTGATTTTTTTATTTTATTATTTTTTTTCTAAAATTTGTGGACATAAAAAGAATAAATCAGATTTAAAGACCCTTTTGCTTTTTGACGAATCAACATAAATGCTTTGTTCATAGGACTTGTGCATACTTTACACCATAATTCTTCCTACGGTTTACCACCTCTTCGTGGCTAAGAGGTATTCCTGGGTGTCAGGCTACGATGTACAGCGGGGATTCATCTCCTGGCAGGGTCTCCAAAGTTGAGAAGGAGTCCGTTCCATCAGGACGCCTAGCTATCCACCACCGTCCTCGTATCAAATTAGACGCGTGGTGGCAAATCTCCCTTTGATCCACATGGGCTGTGATTGCCTGTGGTGGTGACGACATGGGGCAGCCTTTGGGCAACGTGACCTCGCGATTCCAGGGAAACACATTGGCTAAACCAGTAGATCTCTGAAAAAATAGAGAATATGCTGGGGCCCGCACGTCAATGAGGACGGGCCATCCAAGTATCCGAGTAAGTACCACCTTAAGGATAATAACTGATGCTGTCATAACGTTTCATCTCATTGTTAATTATAACTACTAACTATTAGTAATATATTTATATTAGTTACTTTTTCTGAATTCTTTTTTACTCAACCACCCACTTCAGTTTCACCTTAATTCCTCTAGATTCATCTTGTTGCCCGTCAGAATGCTGATAACTTGACACATTTAACACTTGCACAACACAACACAACATTTTCTTCATTCAGCTATTTTTACGGCTTCTACAGTTAAATTGTGCCCTTTTCTCAATATTTTACTCTCAATTTCTGACGTACTAGTGCAGATGAATAAATAAAATACTGCTGTAAAATTAGGTTACCTGAAAAGTTTGATTCACTTTAGTGAGATCATTGTTTTCAATCCGCTCTTCCATAAGTCGTTCTTGATTCTCTCGCTTCTTATCCTTATAATCTTCATAACAACAATCACTTATTAAATCAGGCATGATACCAAAAAACGACAACTCCTCGTCGTAGGCCACTAGACATTCGTGTCGAGGATACTGTAAAATTACGTCACAGCCGATTTCTAATACCCTTGAGTTATCCCGAATTGACTGAAGACAGCTGCTAAAATTAACATACATGTAATTTTCCAGTACGATAGAATGTGAGAATATGACGAAAAATATCCGGATCACGATCAAAAAAATACTCTCCGGTACTTTCATCATAGAAAAACTCCTTAAACAAAACCATCGAAAGAACATTTAACAAGGAAAAAATCACTACTTAATATCAAAAAAAACAGCAATGATTAGAAACGAATAAGGAAAAAGAGAAGGAAAAGACATCTTGAAACCACAATGTAGCCACCGACAACCAGCCGCATTAAAGATAGTTTTATAGAAAGCGTCCAGCGGGTCGGTATTTTCGCGGTGGAGCATGTTTTTCTTCGTTCAATTTTCACGTTTACCTGTTCTTAATGTCTCACGAAAAAGAATAAAAATGGAAAAAACTAATAAATACCTTTTCATTAGACCCTAATAATGTCTCGGGAAACTTTTCCAGTGTGTTCTTCCAAGTTTCGAATTTTCTTCCTGAGATATTTATTGCCAGTTTCTCATCGGACACATGATCAACCGCTAGATCCTTTGCCTGAATGAAGAGGTAAACGTAACATTAGTAATATTGGTTATACTAGTAGTGCTTTTACCTTCATAAGGTCATTGGAAAAACAATTTAAACAGAAACTGGTAAAAAGTAACAAAATTCGTAGGAGGATAACTAAAACATGAATGCTATATGGCATTATATCTTAGCGATTACAAAACGCCATTAGCCTTATAGGGCACGTGTAAAGCAGCCGTGTCTTGGTAAACACACACATCCGCTTGTTCGACTCTAGGCAACGGCGAAGCCAAGACCTTCATCGTTCGAGGGTCAGCAAATTAGTATCAGATTTACCTGGAAGGACAAAAAGCCTAAAGGGACACATCGTTAGGTTCCTATAAGCCATTGCATAGGTTACAGATATACATCCAGCCAACCCTATGATGTTACAAACGGGCTCGAATGCATAGCACAACCTTGAGGGATTGATCATTGCTAAGTGCTTTTACACTCTTATAACTTTATAAATAGTTCATTTAAAACACGAAGCTCCTATAAGTGTTTTTTCACCTAAGATCATCGATTAGTTTTACAAACTATTAATAGACATCGCACAAAGATAAATAGTGTTCGTCTGTAATCGTACGTTTTACATGAATACCATTATACATACTTATTAGAGCAAATAGAATGAATTCACTTCATTTATAAAGGATAAAACTTTAGGATAAAACTTTCGGCGTTGGTCAACCCCTGAATAATCACCATGTGTTCGACTTCATTAAGCATCGTTTCGAGGTTACCGAATGCATATCTGGCCTTTACAATGACTCACGGTGGCCCACCGATGTATCGAACCGGTATTGCTATCCTTCCAGACAAGTCTGGTACCAATTTGCCGACCCCGGAGGGATGACAGGGCTTGATGAGCTTGGTGCGCAGGGATCGATTTTATATGTATTCCAAGGCACCTCCGACCACTGTGCTACACTTCATTTATGACACTTGACACTTGAATGGCCCGCCCTCACTGGATGTGCGGGCCCCAGCATAATCTCATTTTTTCGGAGATTTGCTGGTTAAGCCATTGTGGTTCCCTGGAATTCCGAGGTCAGCCTGGCCAAAGTCTGTCCCTCGTCCTCACCACCACAGGCAGTCGCAGCCCTTATGCATCAGAGGAAGATTTGCCACCATGCGACTTTGATAGTAATACGGTAGTTGATCCTGGTATTGATCTATTCTTAGCTATGTTTCCTGATGGAAACACCAGACTCCTTCTCTTTGGAGACCGTGCCAGGAGATGAATCCCCCGCTGTACATCTCAGTCCGACACCCAGAAACACCTCCAAGCCACAATGTGGCGGTAAACCGTTGGGAGGACATTTGATTCATAGCGCAATTAATCTAAAGGTTATAGATCTTACTAGTTTTTCGTCTGATCTCTCTTGAATTTCATCTATTACGTGAACAAGAAATACTAAGCTACATAGACGTTTTGCAAATTAGCACTTCAGTAGTTTGCACTCTGTCTAATCAAAAATTAAACTAAAGTCCAGTGCCTCACTCGCAGGGTTTAAAGTTACAATGGATCCATTTCGAACGATTACTTCATCTATAAACATGAGGAACAATGACGATGACATCAATCAAAATAGTTGACGACCACCAGTTGTTCCCGCATGACGCACGTCACACAGTAACAACTGTTGGAAATGGGACCAACTAGACGAGTAAAAAACAGTGAGTATAAACAATAAGGAAAACACAACAAAAGATAAAAGTTGAACAAAACGAAAAAACAGGAATGATTTACGAGACGTATTTCTCAGCGATATGAAAAGCTAAACGACATTTGATATGTCTCAGTGCCAACTGTTCGCCTACTAACTGAATTGTGCTGATACGAAAAGGATTTGGTGACTGAAAATGTTAGATTTTTCAATGATACTTATCCGATTAGGTTGAAAGACAATAGGAAATTTTCCGCTGTCCACCACAGGTGTTTTCATCACCACCTTGGTTTCTTCCCGTCTTTCGTACTATAATCCTCCTTTTCTCACGTTTTCTTCTTTCTATTCCTCTTTTATTTCGTCGTAAGGCTTTCCTCTTATTCAGTCGTATAAATTATGACAGTTCACGAAGAGGATTAGCTCATTAGATTTTTACAGATTTTTTCGTAACGATAAGATTTTTCAATGATATAAAACACGTCGTTTCACCTAAGTACAGCTTCATGACAACATTAATTCAAACTTTCGAAAGCTCACAATTACAAACATCAGCGTATTTTATTCCTAACTCCAACATGCATTCAATCGAAGATTCAGCCATGTTCACACAGGAAAAGAAACATTTGAATACTTAGAGGTTGTTCAGTTTCTAACGCAAATTGTTTAGTTCAATAGAAGTTCCTAATTTTGAGGTAGAAACTACCGGAGTTATTGATATAACATGCTCACTTCACTTAAGAAGTTACCCATTTCACGACAGAGTGTCCTAATTTCATAGCATAAGCTTTTCAAATTCGTAATAGGTGTTGTTCAGTTTACAACAAGTTTGTTTAGTTGCTAATTCAGCTCTGAGAATCACTAACAAGCCTAAAGTCGCATTCATTGCTTTGGAACATCCACGACGTGAACGCCACAACCGGTGTCGAACCTTCACTTAACCTTGGCCAATGTCGACAAGAAATGATGAAAAATGCCTTAGCCAATTTCAACTCATTACTTATGATAGGACCTAGGCCCTTTAACAAAGTTTTCATGTTGACACTAGTTTTCATCAAAAACATAGGCGAAAGCCTTGTTTAGAGCGGTTATTTTACTCCATTTTATCGATTCAACACCGAGCATTAGTGTTAGTACCTACTTACTTGGATAACTTCGATGGCTCGTCTTCACTGGTTGTGCGGCCCCCAGCATAAGTTCTATGCTCCGGAGATTTGCTGGTTTATGCATTGTGTTTCCCTGGAGTTCTGAAGTCAGCCTTACCAAAGCCTTCGTCAGCTCGTCAGGCACCGCCCTTGTCGATCAGAGAGAGATTTGTGGATCAGGGGGAGATTTGCCACCATGCGACTCGCTTGGTACCAAGACGGTGGTGATTCCTGGTAATAGTTTACTTTTAGCTCTGCTTCCGGATGGAAACAACAGGCTTTTTCTTAGCTTTGAAGGCCCTACTGGGGGATGAATTTCGTTGTACATGGCAGCACAGCACCCACGAACACCTCTTAGCTATGATGAGGAGGTAAACCGTTGCGAGATCACTGCTAATAATTTGAATTTTCTCAAATATTAAATTATTAATAAAAGACTCTTCGCAAGTGTCTTAATTTTTGCAGTACCTTCTGATCTCAAGCTGATACTGGCCAATTCATACATACCCAATACTGCTCCAGTCGTTTTTTAACGGATTTCGGCTAAAATGTGCTGTTTTGTATCTCATCAGTCAGAAAATTCTGCAAAAGGACATCTGTCTAACATCACTATCGTAAGCGTTTTCTCCGTGGGACAAGCGACATCATCCTGATATCCCGATACTCTAATGAGCTCAACAAATCGAGTTGTAGTTTCAAAACGCGAAAATTCGATGACGAGCAAAAATGTGACGAAGTTTCTGGTAAACCAAATTCTTACTTCTTATCACCTAATGATGCTCAATCTGCAGAAGAAGTTTGCAGATGTTATTCTGGAAACTCTGGCAAGGTACTGCTAACAGTGGTAAGTGTCGAAAGAGATCTCTGCGGAGTCGAGAATTTCTGGAAGACGCAACTCGTCTGTTGAACATCGAGCACGAAAGTCATCATGCCTGCCGTCGCGCCTTTATGTGAAATAACAATATTATTTCTCTCGTAGCAAAGGAAGCGATTTTCTCATCTACGAGTGCTCAACATCGATTTTTACAGTAAATAATAATAATTTCGAAAGGTTTTCGTGTACGTTACCATCTCTGTCAAGTACGACTCAGACCGACGGCTATTTTGCAATGACGCTCTTATATGATACAGGAAACCTGAGAATTTAAATAGAGGTTTTTTTAAGAACTTCTTTTCCTCTCCTCTCTTCCTTTTGCTGTTTGGTACTTTATAAAGTAATGACTCTCTGAAGAAAAGTGGGAAATACAACTGTCTTTAATACTCAACCTAAATGTGTTATTAGAGCGCCTGTAACACAGTGACCAGAGGTCCCTGCAATACCTAGATGATCAATGGTTCAATCTCGTCCACAAAATCAACCAAAAGTCTGGCATCTCTCACGAGTCGTCAAATTGGTAGTAGATTTGTATAGAAAGATAAAAACACTGATTTGACGAGTCGATGGAGCACTGAATAAATCAAATAAGCTGCCTAATCACCTTATCTCCAAGAGCTACGCATGGAGTTAAATGCATGGTGCATTCACTACAGATTGATCAACGCCGAATGCTTTTTTCCCTCAACATAAATTTTTAATACTAATAAAGATATCACATTTGATACGACTTTGGCGGCCAACCATCAATTGCGAAAACAGTCACTGGGAAAGGGAATTTTCGGTGACAAAAAGCCATAACGGAGGTGAGTTCCTGCTTAAATTTGATGTCAGGGCTACAAGGGGCACACTAAAAGTTACCCGCTTGTGGTACTTCCCTACTAACGGCAACGAGTACATCAGTGGATTTTGACACATTGTTATTAGATATCGTGGAATTATGGAGTAGAGAAGATCCGGCATCGTTTTAAAGGATTATGTTTCAAATAGTCGAATTCCTCCTCGACCTCATTGTGCCGACTATCTGCCTGATCCGTTCCTCCGTCCGTCCACCCATCTTTCCGTTCCTCAACTGCTGTAATTGTCATAATGTGCGCTCGATAGAACACACATGTCGCCTGGATCGGATTTCAAGATAGATCTTGGACCCATTGAAGTACACCAAATACTGGTCAAACTGCATAGAACAATTCACTAGAAATTGTACTGTTAAAATACTCGAAAGCCAGAAACGATTTCAAAGAAAAAACACTAAAAAATTTCGTACATACATCACATAACTAGTTGGTCAAGTAGACCTTTCAAGTTATTCTCACTAGCTTCCGTGTTTTTTTCTCATGAGACTTAAGATATACTGTACATGTATAATATATGTATAAAATATATAAAGTATATACATGACAAAACTTGAAATATATTGTGCGGACACTAGTACTTCCTACATTCGATTCGTTCATCTCATCCATCACCCGAAAAGGACTCTAGATTCTTATATTGGATTTATGCTCTTCTTTGTTAATGCTACTAAGTGCTGCCCGAGTCCATTCTCCCTACCCGAAAAGCGATCCTAAGATAGCCACACTAGGGCACTCCTAGGTCTCGTTGACCGAATAAAGCTTCCAAGATAAGCCTAGTACCAATTTCTCGACCTCGGACGGAGATGGTTTGCTGTTCTAGGGCAGGATCGAACCAGACCTTTGCGCGTATTAAACAACAGCGCTATCCTTGAGCTAACTACAATCCATTTTCATGGTTAACAAACATGAAATTGCAATATAATATAGAAAGGCGGTTTTCATGGTTACAGAACTGAAGCTCAATGAAACTATTTTGGAATGAAGTTCAAAGATGAAAAATCGGCATGAAAAAGTGTGATTGGTAGGAAAAAAAAGCGGTGCCAATTTCCCTGCCCATGGTACATTGTAAATGAATTCCTCTGGAAAGTTGATGATGAACTGATATAAGGAGAAGGACACTAATTAGTTTGTTTTCTGATCTCTCAAAATGCAACGTAGTGAAAGTGAAAAATTCTTTTTTCTCTCCTTCATTTCCTCCTCTGTTATTTTCTGCATGGGAGCATCAGAGTGACAACCTATCATGAAATAGCGGAAAAGGGTAATGTAAACAGGAACGCAACAAACGATGACTAGAAAGTGGTAAACCGCACTTTATAAACATCCATATCATCTGATCTTTCAAATTTCCTTCGCTTCACTGTAGAGGGTCAAGTTTTTTCAACTATTGTTCATTTTCTTCTTACTTATTTCCTCATTTATCACGTGAACACTCGTGCACTTTAAACTGCTATCATCTCCTTAACATTCTAAAATGAGATTTAGAATCAAAAAGAGCTCCCTTTGAAATCCTGAGAAAGTGTAAAGTAAAATGGTGAGACAAGCCACATCTCGCCTCTGCACAAAGTTTTAAATTTAAAAACATAAAGATGATTCTAATCCTACTTCTATGGACGACGTAAACTCATAAGTTAATTAGGACACTTTTTATATTAATCGGTAGTCAAAACACTGAAAGATTGAGAATTTGAGGACTCGGTTGATTCACAGAAAAGAACGTACGGGATTTCTCTAATGGCACATGTAGTGGTTTGTGAAAAAATATTTTTCAATTTAAATTTGCTTAAAAATCAGGTCTTTAAAATATCCGAAAACGAAATTTCAATAGAGTAAACTTAAAGCCCAAAACTGGCGGCTACCAACAACAGCAATGCATTGGTGAAACACTGACGTCCTGGTGGACGAAGTCCTAGTTTTTCAATCGTTTCGCTGTTCAAAATGAAAGCACAAACGAAAAGGGTTTTCTGGGATCCATAAAATCCGAATCTCTTCGTGACGAACTACAAACACTTCTGTTTTGTTTAAACCGACTTTTATATTCTACTGATTTTGTCTCAACTAGTGAAATCCACTCTAAGCTGAAATATATTTATTTAAAATTGAACGATTAACACATTTTTGCCAACGCACGAGTCATTTGTGACTCATACCACCCAGTCAGTTACCCTACATGGGTTACATTGGTATAAATGTTCTAAAGTTAAAACGTCATGAAGGTTTAAAAAATGTCGACCTACTCAAGAAAATTAGTGGAAGTGGCCTCGTACCATTCCCTCTCCTCAAACTTATCGAAGTAATTTTTAACAGTGAACAAAATCAAATAGCAGCAAGTAAATCTAGTAAAATCAGCTAACATGGTGCCATTCCAATAAATCATCTAGTAGTTGTTTATTTTTTCGTAACAAAACACTTCTTGTCCCTGAGATGCTGCATATTTTCGTTTGCAAGCCTTGAGGCGAATGTCAGCTGCTCTCGTCGACATATCATAAAAGCGCCACTGAATCAGAAAATACATTTAACGAAAGACAAATGGATGCTTGATGAGAAGCGCCAAAACAAACAGGACAACATTTCCCTTCATGAATGTGAAGTGTTCAAAATTCCATATAACATGCATAAAACGGTAAACAAAATGTGCTCCAATATGAATTTGTGCTTTTTTCAATCACACACTGATGCGATTATGGAATGGCTCCTTAATAGTAGCGTAAAAAAGGATAGGTCTATAGTTGAAGCAGAAAGTTTGCATGTTTATTCTGAACCGCTCATGTGAATTCAGAAAACGTACGATTTTACTTTTTTTATTTTTTTAGCAGATTACAACAAGGGCAATTTTGGCGCCATCGACCAACATCGATGGCAGGCACTAAGCAGATGATTTCCTCTTAAATTTAACTACTTCAAAAAGCATATGAATCTATGGAAAACCAAATTAAATATAAAAGAAAACAGTATATAAGCCTAGAGAATGCCAGGATAGTAGAGATAGTAATATTTTTGCTTTCTGTAACTAAATTAAGTGTATTAGTACCTAGCGTCCCAACGGTTTACCGCCTCATCGTGGCTGGGAGGTGCGCCTGGGTGTCGGACTGCAATATTCAGTGGGGAAGGGATTCGTCCTCCGGCAGGGTCTCCCAAGCTGATAAGGAGTCCGGCGTTTCCACCAGGAAGCCTAACTAAGAGTACACCAATACCAATACCAGGATCCACCACCATGCTGGTGTCAAAGTCGCATGGTGGCAAATCTTTCTTTGATTCACAAAGGCTGCGGCTGCCTCTCGTGGTGAAGACCCAGACTTTGGCCAGGCTGTCCTCGGGATTCCAGGGAGCCACAATGGCTTAACCAGCAAATCTCCGACCGAAAACGGTGATTATGCTGGGGCCCGCACAACTAGTGAGGACGGGCCGTTCAAGTAAGTAAGTATTAACACCCAGGGTCCGACGCAAATTGATTTCCACTCACACGGAGCGAAAATAAAGGCCTTTTTTGACGTCAAACTAACACAGATCAATGCTTTAACATTTCCACTATCTCGTATATAATGCTGAGATAATTGCAAAACTCCGGACCGCAGGTGTATGCGGTGGGAAACGAACGCGCTATTGTCCTTACCGGGGAGTAGCGCACTTCACTACCACACCATTTCGCAACATACCCTGCCATTAAAAAGAAAAAAAGCAGTAAATAAAAAGGTTAAGATTGTGATTATAACTAAGCCTCAACTTAACTGGGTTCAATGTCGATTTGGGCTCCCCAGAACAATCCCGTTGACGGGTGATTGCTGATGGCAAAACATCGATAAAACTAGCTGAGAGACAGAGAAAACGAAGGATCCGGATGGTGTGGTGATGAAGTGCGCTACTCCCCGGTAAGGACAATAGCGCGTTCGTTCCCCACTGCATACCTGCGGTCCGGAGTTTTGCAAATATCTCAGCAACGTTGTGGTTGTATTTCGCTTAGTACCCTGCCGCGAAATTATAGCAGGCAGAAAATACAAAGATATAACATTATCTCAGCATTATATACGAGTTATATTTCGCAACATACCCTGCCATTGAAAAGAAAACGGCAGTAAATAAAAGGGTTAATATTTCTACTATCTACGTTTGTTCATAGCAGGGTAAGATGTGAAATGTAAGCATACTGATGGTAAGATATGAACGACGTTCGGGAGCTCAGGTGGGCTGCAAACCTGCGATTACCCTGCGGCCTATGTGTTACCCACTACGCCGCCGCGACCCTTGCTTTTGTTTTCTTTCTACATGTTTTTTACCCAAACGGTGCTATCAGCAATCACTTGTCAACGGAAATGATCTGATGAGCAGCTAAAATTGACATTGAACCCAGTTAAGCCGAAGGTGCAATCGAAATCACACTGTTTTAACATTTGAACTAACTTTTAACTTGCTTCAACTTGACCTTTGGTATCGTGGATTGCACGTGAGCCCCGGAAAGAGTATTCGTGGGTTCCAAGCCCATCCAAGATTCCGAGCTTTGTTCATTCCTCGGCATCATTGTGAAGATATCTCATTTGAAAGCGTAGTTTATTAATTGAAATAGATGCCCTTAGAATCAGCAGATGTTCGGCAACAATATATAAGATATCTAGCTCCACCTTGGTAAAATTCTACTTTTAAGGAGGGCGGAAATCGCGCATTTATAACTTCTTCGTCAAGGCTCGTATTTTGAAAATGAGGACAACTAAACAAGCAGTATTTCGTCCATTGTAACCTGACGATAATCCCAAATACGGTTTAAATTTTTATGGCTGCCGACACCTCGTTTGCCATTACTTCAATTCCAAGAAACTCTGTAAGTCAAACAGTAGTTCTAAATAACCAGAAGTGATACAGCAAAGTCTCTCCTATAAGCGAACCACGTTTCCAAACCCTCAAATATTCTAGCCAAGGCTTCAAATATTCTAGTTATTGAAAAAATACTTACAGTTTGCGAATAACTAGCTACGGACTCTAACCGTTAAAAAACTATTTAGTTATGTAATCATTAAGAATGTAGCATTCCAAGAAATTTTCGTATTTCCCGCCGAAAACGTTACGACTTTAAAACACCTTTTTATAAAGCATTTATAACTTTTTAGGTAATTCTTCTCTTTAAAATTAACATAGACATAGGTACTGAAGTATTTAGAAGTACAAATGACACAAGAAAACTGAGAAGAAATAAGAGGACAAACGTTTTCATTCAATATTTATGAAAAGCCATTCAAAAGATATTTTATCCCACGTTAGCGATAAATGAAAGAAAGGCACAGAAAAGCGAGTTTCTTGACTAAACACTTCTCAACTTCCATTGTCATTTCATTAAGCTTAGAATTCTTTGTCAAAATGTGAAGGAGTTTGGAGTAAAGATTTCCCGTAGAAGGTTCAAGTCGATTTTTTACTGAAAAAAATGTCTCATAAGCTTTTTTTTTCTGCGAAATTCTGAAACGTGAATTCCCTATACTCGTTTAGTTTCCTTGTTGTTCAACACTTTAGATAGGGTTAAAGACAATAGATGGAATGTCTATGATCGGCTCATGAGAACCTAAACAACAAGAGGATTTTTACGGAAATCACCAAAAAATTTTTTTTTCTTTTTTTTTCAATTTTCTAAGAAACAGAGAAATCTGTTCAAGTAGAACATAGAAAAGGTCTACGATTCTTAAACACCATAACAGAATGAAAGAAAAAAAGAAGCTAAACGACTACGTTGCCCATAGATATTGATCAAATTTGCTGGTAAGTTTTGACAGGTAGTTGCGCGGAAGAATTTAAGCCATTCTTTAGCTAACCAGTTGAAAAAATTCCGCTGAACAGCACGAAAAGATCATCGTGATGTTAATGAGAAGTTCTCAGCTAGTAAAAATCCATCAATTAGAAGATTTCTGAATACTCTATAACAGTGTTCCATATTTTATCGCAAAAAATAATGTTCAGATGGATATCGGAAGCATAAAAAAACCCCGGCAAGATTTTTCATCGTGTCCTTACTCAACAAAGTTAAAGTAGAAAACTTAGGGAGATACGAGGAAACGAAAACTGGGAAGAAACGTGAGCAAATGGGAAACCTGGAGAAGAAGGAAGAAATATAAAATGGTAACAGATGTTTCGTTTGCCATTGATTTATAGAAACTGCATTCTTTGTGGAGCAAAAGCAGAAATAGAAGAACTCTCCAATCTTGATAAAGGAACTGAAATTAGACCATGGTCTTTCGTTAAGCAATTGATAAGTTGAGTAGATTAAAAACTAGGGAGAAACCCGAAATCTCAAATCGCGCATGACATAAGGGGCCACAGCAAGAATAGCGATTGATTTTCTTCTCCCACGTATGGTCTTCTTCTACCTTTTATCATTCTATATCCTTTTTCGACCATATTTATCGATTTTTATCTCAATTTTTAAACTGAGAGAACGGGAAAAAGGCTGAACTGAGTGTCACAAAAAGAAAATGATTCCAATAATGAAAGAAAAACGTCAACGACAAAAAACCTATTCACGAAAGCAGAAAATTAAATTGGAGACCGCTGACATTTTGAAAGACCACAACGGAGACTCCTACAGGAGAAAACTTAGTCAAGTACAAAGCTGAGAACTGGAAAAAAATCGGGAAAAAATTCTGAAATACGCTTAAATATAGCACACTCCATTGTGGGATTATGACTTCCGACAGCGTATCACGGACGAATCCACACCGACGTCGATCGGTTTCTAAACACTCTGGGCCTGTCGACTTTATTAGAAATTCAGAAGTGAATTATCCGGAGCATCTGGTTCTCCGAAAGAATCGACGATCTGAGTGAAAACCACAGTCGTACATATCGGATGTCAAAATTGCTCTATGAAGTGCGTGAGTTTGACAGACATGAAAGGCATCATGCTTTTCGCAACACCTGCGTTGTTTTCCCCGTTATTGGCAAAAAGCAAACATGAAATATCTCTGAACTCTGTTCTTGCGTATGTTTACTGCTTTCGGATCAAAGTTCTGTCTTGGTTAATCCTGCTAGACGATGAGACTTCCTGCACAGTTTGTCATCTAGAAATAATAACGCACATATATGATAGATTGCATTTGCTATCAAGTAGCAAGGAGAACAATATATTAAAGAAGTGAATAATAGGGCACCGTTTGGTGGAGTTCCTTACTCGTATGGTGCTCTCCTCACTGGATTCGACTCGATGCGACAACGACCAGGGGTGGGCCATCGACTGGGATCAACGCGGTGCTGAGGAAATCGAAAACACTGAAAAACTAGTCAAATGAAAATTTATGCCAACCTTGTGCTATCTCAGTCGTGTAGAAAATTATTCTAAGAAGTCGCTCAGAAAGAATACTGCAACAACTAGAAGAAGTTCTAAGCCCTTTTCAGCCTTCATTTCTAACAACAACAAATGTATTCACTGGCTTTTCTCTCATGTATTCCAAACAACGCAAAATACTTTCCATACTGCATAAGTCAACCACTCCTCCCAATTCAACACCCTGTCATCTGGGAATAAGTGCCCCAAGATTTTAGATTCAACTGCTTTGAGAGCTGAGAAACGAGCAGAAAACTAGCAATTCGCTCGTGTGATGTCGACAAATGCTCTCGGTTTAGTCAGGAACAATGAGCCGATGCTAATGCGAGTTCTGTTAACGTCATCTAAGAGAGTGATGGATAACATTTGTGTAGTTAAACGTCATTATGAATGCCGGAACATCGAGATTTTATTGGCATCATCTATTATTACTACTCCGAACACCCATGGCACTGTGGCCCATGCATCGCTGCTCAGGATCACTGATGATCGGCCACACCATGAGTATCGATAACAACTTGATTAAAACCTATTAATTACGTCAATTCGTCAAACAAATACCAACATTTTATGAAAATAGTCATCCCCGATGGTGTTTCTTTAACCACTCAAGAAGATGGAAAACCTGACTTCTGAATTGATGAGGCAATTTATCTTAGTGTAAGTGTTGTTTTCGCTCAATGCTTTACCGCTTCACTATGATAACGAATGCTCCTGGGGGTCGTTACTCTGTTGTAAAGACAGGAAATTTATCTTCCAGCAAAGTCACTCAAACCAAAAACGACTTCAATATTTCTATTTGGTCAGCGAAGAACAACTCTTTTTAACGAATCGATGCTGATTTAGAAGAAACCTGTCGGAAGGCAGAAAACCCTTCTCTGTTTTTCAATGCGGTGATGACTTGGAAACAACCAAGAATAGTTATCTTGGGACTACGGTGGGGAAAAACCTTCCCGCCGAGAAAACTATTAATAGAATAGAAATCGTGATGGTACCAAACTATTTGTGAAGAACGAACATGTAAATCTAAGTGTGCCTTGGTAACTTCCAGAGTAACTAAGCTTTTATGCTAAAAACTGGAATAAAAAATATGAGAGCATCTGGCAAAAAAGTGGTCTAGTTTATAACAAAGCACCTCGTTTAAAAATTGGATAAAGAAGATCCATTGAGCTCAAAACAGGGTTACAACAATGAGGATTAAAAACGAGTACTACTAGTCTTATGACATCTTTAAATACGAGAATTACAGGTCTCCGAATTTCTCAAAATTGTTCCGTCCGTACTTTGGAGTGCACTGTATATTCTTCATACTCTGCACAGAAAAGTGAAATGGGAAGAGAAATCATAGATGAGAAATAGTATTAAATACGGATGAGCTACTTAAAAAAGTAGAAAAGAGACTAATCAGATATGACTCGATGTGAAGCAACGATGAACAAGAGGCTAAATTGTCGTTACAATGAAATACATAGACATTGATTATAACGGAGTTCCAATCAATACTTCTCTTTTCTATCCCATGCAATCAAGAAAGTATACACATTTCCTAGAAAACCACCTCATTTCTCGTTCAGAAAAAATAGCTCATTTTGATTTATTCCCATTTTCTTAAGTAATAATATACTTAAACTCTTAGGCGAATGATAACATTGCGTTGAACTGCGAAACAAAATGACTGTGAAAAGATTAATGAAGGAAAATAAAGAAATTACTCAGAAAGAAGTACCACAAAAACAGAACGAAAAAAAAGACGATAGAGAAAAATCAAAAGAATGGAAAAATGACTTATAATCCTTACCTGTAGAGCCAATGGTGCTTGCGGCATGGGCTGCCGTGCGACCGGAATCCATCCAATGGCGGCCGCGCGGGCGAACGGCAGCCACGCGGCGACGGACGCCATTCCGCGCCAAGTACTCTGTAATATATAGCTATCGATTGATCAGAATCACTCAATAATCGGCCGCGAGAACGCCAAGCAGAAGTATTGGACTGACATACGAAATCATCATGTATTCAAAAAAATTGTAAGAGCACATGATTAGTTGTAAAATACTTGATAAAATATGAATATGAATATGCGAGTAATCAAGTCATAACCAATTCTATTAAGTCACAATTAATTACGAAATGATAAAATCAAATATCAACAGCGCCAGTTGTAACCACAAGGCAACTCAGAGGATTGTGAAAGAAGTTTTCATTCGCCTTAACGTCAACCAAATCTGGACAGTAAATCGTGATTGGTTGGAGATCATAAGGATCATCACACTGTTTTCTTAGGTTTTTCAATAACACCGATTTCTACTGTGAAGCAATACCAATGGCTAAGTAGGAAGGCAATCGGCTCTAGAAAAGTTGACCAAAGGCGAAATGTAGAAGGAGGATCCTCAATGCATGCTAATGGGTGGAGCTTGCAATGAAACTTCTGCAGAGTCATAACGCTTAATTATTTATGCAAACCCTAAACCGCTTCCTCTGTCTTGTATCATTGAGTTTCAGATATTTCTTTAAAGTTACATCGGTCCAGGGAACAATCCTCATATCCCTGGGTTTAGACCCGTACGTATATCCACCTAGGTATAGACGGAGAACAATAGTGCAAAACCGATCATGAAAGCTAGCTCAACAAGGAGGATGAGAATCTCGTCTACAGAGTGCACCTTTGTTTAAAAATAACTAAACAGCTTCAATGATGCTAAGATATCTGCAAAACTCCGGACCTCAAGATTATAACTAAACAGCTTCGATTTCGTTTTTTTCTCACATTCGATCTCTCATCGGGCCATCTGGAAGCGCGCTACAAAACCCTATACCTGTCGACGAAGAAATGCCTAAGGAGGTCGTCGGGAATATACGCATTGCCAAAGATGCGTAAGTGGAAAAATTTGAAAGCGCAAAGGATCCAGATTATTTCGGTCAATACACCAAAAGCTCTATATTTAGGAATACAAAAAGCTGCTGGAGAGGGTAAGAAAAGAGACGGACGAAGACAAAAGTTTATAATTTTTGTATGATAACGAAGTACATACAGAAACTCCGTCAAAGTAAGTTGGAAATTACATAACAAAGAAGAAAACGAACACTTCTGACAGATGTGACAAAGATTTAACAATAGGTGATGACTAAAGATAATCCAAATGGTAGTTATTGAAGCAAATAAAACAATAGTTGATTGTTGGTCAATAAAATTGCTTCCCCGAGGGTTTCCCATAACGAATTCGAACCCACGAAAAATAAAGAGGAGCAGAAAAATATCTCATATTCAATTTCAAAGAAACAAGAACATGGCACGGAAAACTTGGGAACCGTGCTATTTTCTTCATAACCAATGCATAAACCGGGAAAATTTGCAAAAATTTTCAAGAAAATGTTCATTACTGGCAAATAAAAAAAAAGAAAAAAACGAAGATCGAAGATAAGAAGGAAAAGCCGTTGTTAAGAAAGGACTAATTAGCGAGACTTCAGAGAGAGAAAGTAGGTATGAAAAGGAAATGGGAAAGCAACGGTCTACAAAAAAAAATTTCCGAAGAGAAACTGAGATGGAACGATTCTCGAATAAGAAAAGTCGTTTAAGTGGAAAATCCAGCAAAATGTGAACAAATTGGAAAGAATAGGATAAACACTGGTGTAGAAACATGTGGCAGATTGAACTGTGTTCATATGTCGGTTTTATTTATTTCTTTCCTTCATTCATCTTTCACAATCGATTGATCAATGCTTTCCAGTGTAATGCTGTTCACTAATATCGATTCCTCTTCCACTGTTTTCAACGTAAACTTAATTATTTTTGAAAAACTGGAAATAAATCTTTAACACTCTCTACACACTTTTTTATTATCATTTGTGTGTTGCAGTAATAACTCAAAAGACCGACTTTCCATGAACCTCGGCATAGAGGGATTTATTTACATGATCTTATAAGCTGATCTTTAGCTGATGCGAGGTTGGCATAGGTGTTCGTTGTCGTTGTCGTTGTTGTTTACGTTGTTGATCGATGGTTGATATTTCGGCGATTTCGCCTTCCTCAGAGCCTGGACGTGTTTTATATAAGAATAGTTTAATTACTCGGTGGAAAAAAGGCTAAAGTATTAATGAAGATCAAGTTTTTAAATAGACGCCATATTAAACAGAAAGGCTACTCACCGTGATGTTACGAGTGGGACTGGCCCACACGTTGTTCATGTGGGGTCGCGAGCGAGGCACACCCAGAGGTCAAAATATCAAAACAGGGCGCCAGGTCACGTGTGATAGTGAGGCATTCGTTTTTCCGGTTCATCTTTGGGTTTCTGAAATTTATCCATGTATCCAAAACGTCTCGAGAGTTTCGAGAGTTTTGCGTGTTGGTGATTTCTATTCCTGCGGTAGGATCCGCACAGTCACTTCAAAATCATCGCCATTGTGCTTTTATGCCTTATGTGTACCTAAAGGAGTACTTTGACAAATTTTTACTTTCCCATCTAGGTGTTCTTCTATGAGGACACAAAGTGATCTACCCGTTTCCCCAATATGTTCCTCACCTCAAGCAATACATGAGATCAAATATATTATACCTGAACTCATGCAATCCCTGTCTACTCCGTTAGGACAGGTCGTACAGTTTTCTCAGCGGCACAAACGATCATTGAGACGGTTGCAAACTAACTGACGGGGTACGGGGGATTGGGTGGGGTGTCAATAATCGTTACATAATTGGTAAACCACTTTGTGTCCGCATAAAAAAACATCTAGATGGAAAAGTTAAAATTCGTGAAAACACTCCTCTAGGTACGCATTGGGCACAGAAGCACAATGGCGATGATTTTGAAGTGACTGTGCGGATCCTGGCGCAGGAATCGAAAACATCAACGCGCAAAACTCTCGAGACGTTTTGCATAAATTTCAGAAACCCAAAGATGAACCGGAAAGACGAATGCCTCAAGATCACACGTGACCTAGCGCCTTATTTCAAAATGATTTCATGACCCCGAGGTGTGTCCTGCTCGCCATCCCACGTGGACAACTCGTAGGCAGTCCCACTCGTAGCTTCACGGTGAGTAGCATTTCTCTTTAATATGGCGTCTATTTAAAAGTTTGATCTGCATTAATACTTTGGCCTTTTCTTTCCACCGAATAATCAAACTATTCTAATAGAAAACATGTCCAGGCTTTGAGGAAGGCGAAATCGCCGAAATGTCAGTCATCGACCAACAACACCAACAACAACGTTAACGACAACGAAGGCCTATGCCAACCTCCCATCAGCCAAAGAAGACCAGCTTATAAGATCATATAAATAAATGTTGCAGCAATGTTCCAATTTTTAGTGGCGATGGTTCTTTAATGACTGTTGAACACGGATGCTCCTCGACATATCGACAAGGCACTAATTTAGTGAGTGAAAGGGGAAAAAAGAGAAGAAAGAGAAATAAAGGAGAAAGTAAAATTTACATTGCATTAAATCTCCCTTGTTTTTCTGGGTGGCATATAATGGTATTGCATACTTATTTTCTTTGTTCACTTGACCTGCCTTCAACTACTGTGAGGATCACAGCTCTTGATTCGGTTGATTTGCTTTCTCACGTCTGTCATACGCGATAGTGGCCGATTAATTTCTATAGATCCAGATCCCGCTTGAGGATTTGGTCATTTTCATAAATATCCTTGAACTCCGGGAAAGTAGATTCTTGTGGAAACCTTGGACAGCTCCGGTAGAGCGTCTCCTAGTCTTAACCACAGAAACAAACATGTCTAGTACCAATTTCTTGACTCCGAAGGAGCGAGAGGCTTCCTTAGTTTAAAGTAAAGTTAAAGCCTTAAACCAAACAGCCAAATATATTCAAGTAGTGTTATAACATTTAGGGTATGAAAAAAAATTTTGGTCCATGACAAAAAACAAGCATGGCTAAAGTTATAATTCTTCCTATAAACTCGAAAATTAACCATGCCCACTGAAAGCTAGATGTATTCTATTCCTTGGAAGTTGTAACCTCCTCTAATAAAGTCATATCAAGCCAAACATGCCACCATCTTTTATTGGTGTTATTACTGCTATCCACGGATCTCCCTCACATGAGGGACCTCGAGCCGGTTAGTCGCGAAGCTACGTGGCGCGTCCCAAGATGGAGGATATGGGGTTAATCGTGGACCAAAAGGGTTCTTCGTTTCCTTGAGACCCAGGTGGATCCAAGGGATTGACTCCCTGTTTCTGCTGCGCCGATTTGGCACATACCTTCCGTATTTGCTAGGCGTATTCATACATGCGTGTCTGGGTAAGTTCTCGGTTACGCGGATTGGATTCTACGGGTCAATTCGGCCAAAAGCGAAAGCCACGCCTGCAATCAAGTGACAGAGAAGTATATGGGAGGCGGTTAGGAGTCACCTCCAACAGGTAAGCTCCATGTCCACCCTGGCAGAGCTTAGCAAGCTACCCGTGAGTATACACAGCCCCACGTTGAGAGCCCAGCAAGCGATACGTGGGTATGGAAATGCAAAGCACAACAATGGAAACTGCCTGAATTACAAAAAACTAAGGTGACGATCTGTACCTACAAAGTATGTACGCTTGCCTCCGAGTCCTCGATAGAAGACTTGTTCATGCAAACAAGAAAGATAAGGTACGACGTCATTGGGTTGGCAAAGACGAGACGACACCACCCATTCAACGCCATCTGTGACACCGGAAAAGAACTGTTCCTCGGAATGTACATCAGTAGAGGAGTCGGAGGCGTCGGCGTTCTCGTCAACACGAGTTCGTCCACGAACATCGATTCATTCGAACAACTTACAACCCGCATCGGACGTTTACGATTAAAAAGATGTGGACCAATACCAGGTTTGACAATGTTCGCCGTTTACGCGCCGACGTCAAACTATGACGAAGAAGAAGTCGAAGCATTCTATGTGGCCTTGGAGAACTTCCACAGAGAAGACCATACA